CGTCTGTCACATCCTGGCATCAAGGCTTCGAAAAAAAATGATACACCAACGTTTCGTATGGCCTAGCATGCAAAAGGACATAGCCAACTAGACACGTTCGTGCTTGGAGTGCCAAAGATCTAAAATTGTCAGACACACCACCAGCCAACTTAAAAATTTTAATTTGCCCTCATCTCCCTTCAATCACGTGCACCTCGACTTGGTCGGGCACTTATATTTATTAATAATAATATAATACATGAATACAATTAATTACTATGTATACATTTTTCTTACCTTGGATGAAGCAAATTTATTATTTACTTCATCAAAGTCGTCCCTTTCAAATTTTTCTCTTTCCACACTTAAAAATGCTAGATGACTTAAGGGATCTTGTCCCATCGTTGATCGTAAATATGTGAAAATTTATTTAATATGCTGAACGAACGTTCATAATTAGCATTTGATAATGAAATAGTAAGTAGTATTTGAAGTGCGACTCTTAGGTTTGGAAAAACATTTTCTCTATAGATCTGTAGTGGAGTTTTAGGTTCCGTTTCTTTTCTACTGCGGAGTAACGTCATACAGTCACATTCACTGCTCAAAACAATTAGGGGATATTGTGGGTTCGGTATGAAATAACCATATAATCGACAACCTTTTTGAACAAAAGGAAATAGAAGAGATTATAAAGGAAAATTATAACGTTTACAAAGTTGGGAATATGCAAATTTAGTCTGTGACGTCGAAAACTATGCGTTTTAGATAAGGAGTGAGGAGCGACCTGCAGTATTCCTTTTGTAATAGGAGATTAAAAACAATTCACATGCGTTGAATGCTTCGTAGCAGTGAATATACGATGTCTCAGCAAGATGACATAGTTGAATCGGTAGCCAGGAAGGCCATCAGTCGTTTACAGGAGAGTCAAACGCAATCCATTGTAGCGGAAGCGTTAGGATTTTCCCAAAATGTCATTTCCAGATTATGGAATCGGATTTTAGGAACTGGATATGTTTGAGAAATCGTTTTAAAATAAAAGCAGAACATATACGTGCATTTCGTTTAAAAAAATATAAATATATCTCTACTTTGGAGAAATAAAGTGGTCAGGAAGAACGTTTTGGTTGATGTACTGCAAACATTTTATTACACATTTTATCAGACAAATCAAGAAATAAATAAATTAATATATAATTAATTAAAATAGTTATTAATTTTAAATATATTTTCCAGAAATTGATCAAAATAAAAACTGAAATTTTCTGGAAAATCTTGTTTGAAGACCATTTGGCGCCCCTTTACGAACGGCGCCCGGGGCATCATGCACCCCCATGCCCCCCTCTCGCTACGCCACTGAATATAGGACATAGATCTCGTCGCCAGGATGGCGGAAGCGGCAGCACGTGTCCGTGACACACCTGTCCATTTTGAGCGGGTCTGTAAATCCATGCCCCGACGTTGTGAATCATGCTATTTGGCGATTCAACATCTTCTATGATTTAACCATGTTCTTTAATAAATTTCATGTTAATACCTCTTTCGGCATTCTTTCCTTCTTTTCTTTCATGAGATCCGGCAATAGAGTTTCCAGGCAATGCCACGAAGAATTGAGTTAGTGAACCGATTCATCCTTCTACTACAACGTCTGGAAATAACCACATTTCCCATTCTCCTTAAGCCTGTAAACATTGCCCTCTAGAGGTCCTCGTTCGCATTTCCAGACGCAAATTCCTATTAAATCTTGCTATCATGGTATGATAGACCAGCATGTTAAGTTTGGCAGCGACCTTTTGAGACACCCTTATACACAAGAATATGATAATAATGATAGTAAATTCTATATTTTTATGAAAATAATCAAAACTTGGCAATGCATCAAGAGGAGCTAAAACTCTGTATTAATTTCTTGATGACTTGAGCACTATCATAACACAAATAAATTTGCCATAAATAATAATTTACATATTAATGAAAATAGCAATTTTTTTCCTGAATTCTGTCGCACACTATGTTTTTTAGGAGATCTGTTAATGCGTTTCTTCTGTTTTACTTAGTATCAAATCTCATCTCTCTTAAACGAAGCAATGAAACATACTATAACTAAAAGCTTTCAAATCAGTAATTTCGATGTTATCAATGAACTTTTCATCCCTTTGTCTTTATTTAATAGCAAATAAAATCAAGCCATCGTAGATGATTTATATGCTGAAAAGATGACTTTTAAATACCTATATGAAAGTAAATAAATTAGGGAGTTAAACTTGTGCTGTGATAAAATATTTGTCTTGAATATATAACCATTAAAAACAGAAGCATCGAAGATTCAATAAGTTATTAAAATTACTTTGCAGCACAACTCAAGTAAATTAGGAATGGCATCGATTTAGTACCTAAAATAATAAAGAAAATCTCAGAGTTTTGCCCTAAAAATTAAGAACTTTTTCTGTAATTACTTACGCATGCATCCTTTACGCATCTGCAATTGATTTAAACAAAAACAAAGGCCTGAAATGGAAATTTTGAATTTATTTTATTCGAAATGGATTTAAAAACAACAGCATTGTTGAAAATGATGCTAAAAATAAGACATTTTTAATTTCTATGATGGAAAACTGTCACCCAAAAGTTTTAAGCCCCCAAATAGTTCAAATAAATGAGTTCTATTAAATGAGAAAGAGAGATTGTTGATTCGAGGGAAGGCGGATTGTTGGTATCATCTTTATCACAACCATCTCTTGATACTTTGTTACTTTATTCCTACAGGTGAAAGCACCAGTAAGGCTTCTTTGGAAAAAGTTGTAAAATTTTATTTTAGGATGCTATTTTTGTGGGTACAACTAAGTTAGAACAAAAATTAAATATTACTCACTCTTGTGATATGGTTTGAAACAAAAACCGTTACCGATGGCGACCTTTTATTAAACTATTTTTACATTACTAGGGTAGCAATTTTTTACGTCTGTCTTCATTATTACCAAATGAGAAATAAAACGAAATATGTTGTGTCTGGTCCATGGATTAAAATATTTGTGAAACTTGAATGATATTTATAGTAGAGACAAATTTTTTAACAAACTATCTAGCAGCAAAACTAGCAGCCAATCACTTTCAAAAAGCTCTTTGTACAGAGTGTCAAATAACGTCTTGCTCAGAGTAATGGATTAAAAAATCAGAGATTCTATTGTATACGTAACAATGAAAATATTTTTGGCAGACAGCTCTGTCGTAAAGTATTGTATCAGCTAGCCAAAGAGTCATTGCCTTCCTGACATAATTAAGTAAAAGGCCACAGATTCTATAAAATAAAAATTTATTGAGGAGAATAATCACCATCCAAGCCAAAAAAATATCTGCTCATTTTCCGCAGTTGGTTTTATTAGCAAAGGTTTCGTAAGATGGATGGCTGTCCAGAGGCCTAAACAACTATTAATCGACAGAGGAAATACCTGAAGAACATGGTGGAAAAGTTAACTTCTTCCACTTAAGATGCGTTGATGTCTTAGTTATCATTGCCACGTGTTGGAAAGCATTATTCTACAAAAATAGCACGATTTTGCTGCTTACTAATGTTGTTGTTGTTACCGTGCCCATAATTAAGCCTATTGAAACAGGCCCATTGGCGAAGATGAGAACCCTGGTAATCTGCAGAATGTTATCACCGTAGAGGTTCAGTGTCTTAGACAAAACCTCAATTTTTAACAATTCAGCAAGGATGGCGGAACAATCAAAAATGTGTGCAGTTCTGTGTCCGGCCAGTTATCACGGTTTCTGTGGGTTTTCCTGCCCTCTCCGTCAATTTTCAGTTTTGGTCAGTCAGAGCCAGACTTTGGGTTTAGCTATATGTCGAATCTCCATTTATATTACGGAACTGGTTATTTATTGGAAATGAATAATCTGTATTTTACCATGGCATTTGCGTCCGAGAGGGTGCCATTTATGTTGCTATTACTACTGACATTTCCAGCCTCTGCGTTCTCGTTACCTGTGATGTTGACATGCGTTTGCAACCATTGAAGAATGCAGACCTTTTCTAATTTTTGAAACTCGTTTAGACGAAAGTGGATCCCGTTGGTGATCAGGGAACTATCCAGAATTACGTGTATAACTCCCATTGAGTTGCACATGACAACGAGTCCTCTTTCTTGCTTGGAAATCAGAAAGGATCTATATATGTTAAATGCCTCCAATTACTGCCAGAAGCTCCCAAGGGAAGTTAGAGACTATGGCTCTGACGCCATTTTTGTGTTAATAAGTAGTATCACCTCCTTACTAATGCTAGCAACTTTAGAAAAATATGATAAAACCACCATTATGAATGGTCGCTACTTCTTAGCCGGTGACATAACGCAGCTTCGAGAACTGGCAATGAAATTTGTGGCCGTCTGTTACGACCAAAAGAATGATGAAACACAATATGCTTCAACCAGCTTGAATTCATAATGAAAAACATCGCTGATAATATGAACTGATATCGCCATTTGTTCGACTGAAAATTTCCCTCACTGCCTGTGCGCAGAGTCTCGAGGACACATACCCAGCTGAGGTTAAGTAATATTGAGGTTCAGGCTGGTAGCCCCAATTCAACGATATCACAGAATATCATATATTTAGAAAATAGGAAATAATTTTGTAGTTTCCTGGTTAAACTGTGTTACCATACAAAGCTAATGAGTTTAATAAATGAATTAATAATAGTTTAAGGGTTAAATGTTGTTAGCAACAAACTAATAACAATCATTTGCGGTCTCCTAAACTCCGTCACTCTGTTTTACTCAATGTATAAAATTACCTATTTCTTTGTTTTTTGCATATAAATCATAGGTAAATATAAATGCCATATACCTATTGACATAAATTTGCCAATTTTTTATAACATCATTATCATTTTATGAATTTGCATTGAATGTTTACAGCTGAGGTTTTTTAAAGAAAGAGATTATTTGAGTAAATTTTCTTATTACATCTCACACAGAGTGCAATAACTAATTCGCATACATTATTTACATATATTTTCGTTCCAGAATTCTGGGAAAAACTTATTTACAAATAGGTGTTATCGAAGTTTTAGCTGGAATTTTCACGTACTTTGTCATAATGGCTGAAAACGGATTTTTGCCTCACACGCTGCTAGAGACAGGTGCCTCCTGGAAATCGATAGCTATCAATGACGTCGCTGATTATTTTAACCAAGAATGGGTAAGTAAACGCATTTTCGAAATTATTATGTTTGAATACTACTTCTTTTGGCCGCCCAGTCGGTGTAGTGGTCAGGGAAGCTGACTGCGATTCCGAAGGGCCTGGGTTCGAATCCCGGAGAAGACATGGTTGTAACTGTTCGTCCCTTCATAGGAAAGGCGATGGTGGCCCACCCATTAGGTGCCTCCATAATAAAGAGACCACCACATCCGGCCTTGTATAAATTAATGGACTGGGATACATTTATAATTGTCCACAATCTGCCATTTGAAAAAAAAAATACTACTTCTTTTATATCAATTTCAGCAGAAGTAAACTCGTGTTTAATATATATATATATATATAGTGTTACGAAATGTACAGGCACGGTAAGATGGCTTCCCCGCAATGCAGTTTTAGGGTTACCATAAAATGGTAAGGGAAGGCAGGGTTGCCACACTTGGGGATTTTTCGCCGCGGTTAGTGCATCGTCGAGAGAGTGTGTTAAGCTCCGGGAACGACTGAACCGAAGAGTCAGGAGCTGTGCTCTGCGTGTCGTCGAGTGCATCGCGAGTTGTAGCGTGGAGAGTCTCGAGAGTACATGGAGTTCCGAGAATGAGCGAGCAGAGTCGGGAGCTGTACTCTGATGCTTTGCAGTGAAGCTGTCTCCACCGTGATAGCCTGATAACCTGGAGGCTGTGTCGCAAATGGTGTTAGCGTGTTTATAGTAGCTCATCGACGACTGTAAAAACGTGTCTTGGAGCTGTCCTGACAATACTGTCTAATAAAGTGTGTTTTGATACTTCATCAAGTGTCGTCGTTATTCACTCCAAATTCACACGAACCCCGCACGAACGTGAAGCAAGAAAATAACGAAACAACTGGTGTCAGAAAAGAAAAACGCAACAACATATATATATACTGGTGGCCATTAAAATTACAATACCAGGAGGGAATGGTCTGACGAACGTCAAAATTACATGAAAGAAGAAGTTGGACTGTGCAGATGGATTACAGCGGTTAATAGCCAGTGCCGGTTTAAACCAATTTCGGGCCCTGGGCCAGAAGATCTACTGGTCCGATCCGCTGACAAATATGAAACAAAATTTTAATGTTTAATTTTTATTGTAAAAATATATATAAAAATAAAAAGTATTCTTATAAAAAATATTAAAAATAAAAACAACATTCTAAAATAATAACATTCTAAGATATAACATAACAAAGATTATAGTATTCTTTTTCGTGACTTATATTATATCGGCAAACTGGCGTATTACTAAGTTTCCCCAGTGCGTTATATTCTATATATATAATTTTTCAGCCGCTTTATTTTCAACGACAATATTTCGTGCCACTATGTTTTAGAACTGCGATATTTTATCATTGCTTTTTTTTTTTTCTCCCGCGATGTTTTGTACCACGGCGTTTTCGCCTTGTGTTGTTTTCTGCGCGACGTTTTCTTCCGCGATGATTTCTGCGGACACCATTACAGCGCATTTAGAAGACGCAAGAGGTAAAAACAACATCTGAAGCATTGCATAAAAGAAAAGCTTTGTAGTGTATTTCTTATTCAGAAAGATACTTGTAAGATTGGCGTTTGCCCAGAATATCGTGTTATGCCTCGAATAAGAAAAGAAAAGGCTTACCATTTACCTTAGTTTCGAAATTCAATAAAGGCAGGATGGTTGCCTATCGAAAGTTCAGAAGATTATCGTCCGTGATGTCGTCGGTCATACTGGTCGTCATCTGACCACTGTCATGGGAATATGGAATGAGATTCCTACAGAACGGCATGCAAGATCTCAACGTCCTTCCATGACTTACGCCAGAGAGGACAGACATTACATGTTACATCAGCCCTGCAAAATCGTACATTTTACATTTTAAAAATTTTAGAGATGTTTGTTTGAAAACATATAAATTAGATTCTGTTTGGTTCAAATACTTCTGAAAAAGAATTATCAGAAAAATTTCGAGTTGTGTAATTAATTGAAAACAAAGAAAATGAAGATAATAAATTGAAAGGGTTAGAAACTTTATATGATATTCAAAACAATTTACATTGTTGGTGTAGTAGTAATTCAGTAGCTTCGGTTTTATCCTAAAACTCTAAAATTGAAAAAAATTGGAGCCTGGGAAATATAATTTGGCATTATTGACGAAAATTGAAACTATATACGGAGATTCATATACTGTAAAAATAGTAGAGGATGAAGAAAAAGAATATTTTCTTAAAAAAATTTCGTCATGGTAAACTTTCTGAGAATGCTATCAAGAAACTTAATAAAAGAAATAACTTATTGAACTATAAAGTATGATTAATTGAGAATTATTCAGGAACCATTAGTTAGTCACGGACCATTAGCCAGGAAATGGGCATGTTTGCAGCACGCCCAGTATCAGCTCGTAAGGTACGTCGACGTTTGCAGCAGCGTGGACTATCTGCAGGGTGACTATTACGTTGGCTTCCCTTGACAATGCAGCATATAGAGAGATGGCGACTCTGGTGAACCAAACGACAAAGCTGGGTACAGAAGTGGCACAATGTCGCCTTTTCAAACGAGTCCCGTTCTACGTGTAGTATTCTGATGGCCGCATACGTATCTGGAGTGTCCGAAGAGACCCCACGTCGCCTGCTTGCATTCGAAATTGGCATAGGGGGCCCTGCACCTGGTGTGATGTTTTGGGCAGCCATTGAGTACACGACAAGCACATCTCTAGCTCTGATCGACGGTAATTTGAACGCAGATGGGTACATTACTGACACCTTACGTCCAATGTTGTGCCCTAACTTCGAGGCTCCCAAACGTCATGTTCCAACAAGATAATGCGACACTACATGTTACACGTCGCGTTCTGACCTTCTTCGATACACTGGCTACTCGATTGCTGCCCTGGCCTGCATGATCTTCAGATCTGTCACCCACTAAAAACATCTTGTCATGGGTTGTTGACAGACTGTCCCGCCATTCCTTTCCAGTTAATACCGTTGATGAAGTGTGGCATAAACTTCAAGCAGGATGGAATGAGTTGCCCATTTCTGTCATCAAAACCCAGTTTAGCCCCATGTCTAATGGCGTAAGGGCCGTTTTAGCTGCCAGGGGTGGCAGCTGTTTCTACTAATTTCGCACCCATGCAAACCTCCAAAATACTTACAAATTTAATCATTTTGTCTTCATGCCATACTGTTTATGTTTAATAAATATATTTTTGTATTTGCTTTCCTTCATAAGTTGCAGTTTTAATGGGCAGCAATGTACATAGAAATTCAATGAAATATAATTGTTGATTTCGTCATAGGCACAAATGCAAATTCAGTTTTGGACATAAGACCATGGTAATGAAAATGTAACGGATTTTATACATTTTAAATCATATTTTTTTTACCCTTTCCCTAAGACTTTCATAGAATGTGGTCATCCAAGTGGCCACCCATACAATACTTTTCTGCTCCGAAAAGGTCATTATTGTCTTTTTTCTGTATGTGGTATGAGATCTTAGAGCCATCTATTATTTATCTCCACAAACATTCACAGATAGCCCCTTTGTTTGAAAACAGAAAAAATGTTGTTAACTACCTTATTTTCTTTAAATACAACATTAAATTCAATGCATCTTTTGCGAACTATCTGTATAATTAGCAGAATAAATTTTATGTGGATTCCAAAAATGTGAGTTAAATCTGTGATACTTTTTTGTAATTAATTAATTACTTCTTTATAATTAAGGTTAATTAGGATTCGAGTAAAAGCATCTAGGCATCTATGCACGGAGATCTTGCAGGGAACGTCGCTGTTCACTGTCTTTTCATAAGACAGAAACAAATTATGTACGTTAGTTTAGCATGATTTAGAAACCCACTGAAAATTAGAGCCTTAGGTACAAGCCTTCATAGCCTATCAAATAATGTCTGAAATTAGGCAAAATATTTTTTATCCATCCTTTTAGAAACAAATCCTGGCTTAGCATAGAATTACCTCTACTCCATTTGTTTAAAATTTGACATTGTTGCTTCTTTTAATACTGTAAAACTTTAAAGCTTTTTATTTACAGACATACACAGCTCGGAAAAATCTAGAATATACGTGCCAAACTGCTTTCTTCATTACTATAGTCTTTACACAGTGTTTCAGTCTCTTAATCAGCCGAGTGCGATGGGATTCCTTGTGGCACCATGGAATGAGGTAGAATTTATTTCAATCTTTCATCTTTTTATCCCGCTAAAGTCATATAACAAATCTAACCTTCTATAGATTACTGAAATAATGATGTAAGGTGTCAAAGCTAAGACGTTTTTGGTACAGTAATTTAACCACTGCTGGATGAAAATGAGAATTGCTAAAATAGTTTTTCCCAAGAATTAAGCTGAGATATTGAATACATGTAAATTATATTGTACAGGTACATATGATATAACTTTGCAAATGTGTTTTGATATTTAAGTTCATCGGATGATTTTTTGAAATTCGGATTTTTTTATTCTTTTTTAATTATATATTACGTATATTACTGGTTTCTGATAAGTATCAATATAATGTAATTTTGAAATTTTCTGAACTCCGATCATCTGATAGGAATCTATCTTTACAGAAAATTCCCTCCCCCCCATTTATCATTTCTTGTGACACTTGCAGCCTTATCCGAATTGAGAGATTTAATGCATTTCAATATAATGTAAAACTGATACCCTTCATTTGAACTAAAATCATTAAACGATAGTACTGTAAATTTTCTAGCGTTTCCTCGAAATCGTCTTTAACCTCGAAAATCGTGTTCCAGTTTATTCATCTTCATCAAATATTCATTTATAAACTGCTTATTTTACATATTTCGATATAGATTAAATATATATATACGCAATCAAACCTACTTATGTTTAATTCCTTTTTATTAATCTCAAAATATTGTACTGAAAACATTTCAAGAAAGTAATAAGTTTTATAACGAAATGTATTCCGGCATTCCGCTTCTAACACTAAACAAATTTAATGCAGATGCTTTTGAAAACTCGAAAAGTTAAGCTTTATTTTTAGCCCGAAAGGCGTTAGCTCAGAAGGGTTATTAATTTCGTTTTCTCATTTTGCGCCGAAAACTTTAAATGTCCGTTTCACTTTTCAAATTGTTGCTACCGAATATTATCGTCCTGTGTTAATAAGAAATTAAATAATGAAGAATCTGCATAAATGTATATGTAAGTTTCTCGCACTGTGATAAAATAATGGTACCTAGAGCCATCAGATTTTGAAAAACGTAATCTCCACAAATATCGGCATCTGGAAGCCCTGATTTGGAATTCGTCCGGCTTTTAAATGTACCGCGAAAATGCCTAAGGGTATTCACCAAACATTAAATTTAAAAACTGCAGAGAATTTTTCTCTGCAAACCAACTTTATCAATAAAAAATTGAATAAAATTTATGGCATATAAAAATTACAATGAAATAAGCAATATCCCTTAATACAAATATTAATTATCGTAATAAATAAATTAACCAACTTTCTGTTGCCTTCTCTCGACAAACGTTCAGTATCCAAAAGACACATTAAATTTAAAAACTGCACAGATTTATTGCCCTCATTTTTCCGAGTGGCAACAGTGCTGATATCGGCAGCAATGCCAACAGTGATATATGAGCAACAATGGCTGCGTGCCATTGTTGCTGATATAATGAGAGAGAATTATCAATTTGATTCGATTCTATCAAAAAACATAAAATAAAAAAAACTCATTCGAATTTTGAAAAAAATCGCTTCGAGGTACACCGGCTCTTGTCTAGATGACCTATGTAACAAATTTCGTAGCCCTGGATCTATTAGCTTACACGCTGCACAAACGAAAGGCACACACACACACACACAGACAGACTCTTCCTTTTATACACACAGATTTCATATTTTTAACACTAAGAAATTTTTGATTAAGAAACTAAACGATTTAAAAACGAGCAATGGCAACATTGTACGGGAAAAGAAAAAAGCATTTTTTATCTCCAGCGCGCGAGATTGTGTATCTGAAATTCGAAAGATCTACAACATTTTAAAAGTATTTTGCGATGTTGCTGTTGAATTGAATTTTATGGTTTAAGTGCGAAGAATATGGTATTTAATAAGTAAAGGTAACACACAACAAGTTAAAAAAAGGCCCCTTTGGGTGTAATATAAAATCTGAAGGCTTTCGGATTCTTTTTTAATTGTCAATTGTATTGGTTTTTTTTCTTCTAGTTCTGTGTACCTAAATAAGTGTAAATGATGAGGTAGAAAGAAACTTGCTGAAACATTCCTTCAGAAATGTCATCTTAAAACTTTGATTAAATGATTTTACCTACCTATTTGACCATATGCACTAAGAAAAACATTAGGTTAAAATATGATTACTTATGCTATGAGTTTTTCTTATGCTATGAGCTTTGAGTATTTTAATTTGTTTCAAAAAATGGCAGTGAAACCAAGGCTAAAGATATCTTTTTGTATGATATTAGAAATTATGCATAAAATTGAAACTGAAGATAGGAAATGCACAGTAGCGAAAGAATATGAAATAATACTTAATACGTGTTTAAGTATTACTTTAAAGTATAAAGAAGCCATAAAAAATGTTGCGTGAATTCCAAATGATGATGATCGCGCCTTTCTCTATAACAGCGTCCGAAAGTCTTCGTATAAGTGGATACGGATCTTCACTCTAGAAATGTTGCTATTTGTATATCTATAATATAATAAAAAAATCCTTTGCATTCTTATTCGATGTAAAAGTATTTGTAGTGCAAATTTCAGTTGGTTGCCATGCTTTATATTTCGTAACACCATTTAAAAAGTTATTTCAATTGAAATAACAAATACTCAAATTAGGATGCTTGTTTGGAACGTATTAGTTCATTGTGATCTCATACTTTAAATTTACTATCGATAATCATTCGGCAACCTTTGTCTAATGATATCTGACTATTCAACTATCAAGGTTGTGCAAAACATCATGATAGAAAGTGTTTTCTTACTAAACGTTTTGTACAAAACGTTTTCGATTTATTTATGTATTTTCTTTATTATAAAAATTTATTAATTAAATTTATAACATTTCCTTCTTAGATTGAAAAGATTATATGAATTCTTTGACTCTGGAGCAACTCTGGTTCACAAGTTTACAAATATTACCAAAAAATAGAATTCTTCTTGAATATGGTAAAGATTTCCAGGCAAAGAAAGATTCTGTCTAAGTGGTCGTTAAATAGTACATTTTAAGGTTTCAAAACATGTTCATGCTTACTATGGCTTAAATTTCATCATATGCTTCAAATCTCATTCATTTTTTGAATCTTAAAATTTTAGTCAGTTAGAAGTCTGTTGGATGAAAGAGTGCCAAATTTGGTATCAAATACACTCGTATGACAATATATGACTTATGACTCTAGTGTGCAAAACCTAATCCAACTTTTCAGATTTCGGCCGTAATTCCACAAAACTTCAACTGGGAGATAGGAAATTTATATACTACAGAGGTACAATGTAGTTCAGTAGCAAAAACATCAATAAGACAAAACCAATACGGAACGAATAGAAAAAGGCTTTATTTGCAGAAGGGTGCTGGTACAAAAAATGAATAATGAATTCATTTCAATAGTATATGTATACATGTATATGTCCGCTACTAATCTACAATCGTGCCTATTTCCAGAACAATTCTGATACTTAAGCAAATATAGATGATTGCAGCAGTGTCTTAACAGGATGAAAGCTTAAGCGAAAGTAGAAAGAGAGTCGCAGTAGTAATGCAGAGGAAGAAGGGATTGAGTAGAAACGTTTCAGTTCGAATTAGTTTTGGCTTACAATTATTTTTATTGGACAAGATATATCTGAACTAAACGTTACATAAGATCGCATGATTAATTTGAGTGATGTAGTTTAGAATTAGAGCGCTATTTCTAATAGAGAGAAAGAGAGGATGACCCCAAATTAAATAAGAAATAAAAGAGGTTATATACAATTAAATTTAGAAGTTTCATATTGTTTATCTTACATATATACAGAATTCAATTTTACAAATGTATATATAATTTAATAATTAAATATGTGACTGATATTCATATGTTCCGAATAAAAAAATTAAGTGTTTATACGGTATTACAAAGTTAAGCACAATATAGCGGAAGTATTTGTATCTGAACTGAAAAGAAAATATTGAAAAGAAATTTTAACTGTAAAAACTGAAAAGAAATAATTTGTTGTTTAATGGGCTCCGGAAGTAACCCTTATAGCGCCATGATGAAGGGAAGCCTTTCAATCCTCTGAGCGGCCAGAGTTTTCGCTAAGAAAGCACTAATTTCCCAAATCTACCATGAGAACAAATTATTTTTTTGATTTTAATGTAAAACCTCTCCAGGTATTACATACCTGGATTTGTGTACTTTTGATATATTGCCTTAATTTCTTTGACATATTTTAATATGCACGTATATATACGTTCTTACAGACATCACAAAAAATATCCTAGGCCGTATATATACGGCTTTGCCGCTTAGAGAGTTTTAACAGCAGCTTAAAGAGGAAAACGTAACTGCGTGTGAGACGACACCGATACGGGGCCACAACTATACCGTTCACCAACATCGCTCATATAGTTTTAACAGATCAGAAGACACCATTGGTTTTAGCCAGAAATGATAATTAATGAAATAACTATTTGTTTAAATTCACAATGCACATACATTATAAAACTGCCCCAAGTCTCTCAGAAAGCTAAAAGCAACAATAACCATTAGAATTAAAGCATTAAGTATCGAAATTATTATCAGAATTGTCAAAATTCAAATCGTGAAATTATTGAGAAGCTATATTACTGTGACTACAAAAGGTAATTAAATTCATTCATCTCTTAACTAATAAAATTATATCTAATTTGATTACCTTTATTAATTTTGAAATTGTAACCTATTACTTTTTAGTATTTTATTTGGACCACTTCGTACAAGGAGAGAAGAATGAAAAATATTTATTCTTGGTTATTTTATTTCTATCGTATCATCTATTAACAGACATTTATTCATATGCATTTACATTGGCTCACAGCTGAAATTCTACTAAACTACTTTATTAAATACTTTTTTGTGCGTTTTTGTGTATTTTAGGGCTCTAGAGAGTTTTATGCCTGCTTAGTAAAGAGAATTAAAAAACCCTAAACACTTTTCAGTGGCTAAAAAGAAAGAAGCAATTGTTTAAGGCAGAAATTAAAGATAAAATTAACCAAAAAGTAGAATGTTATTTAAAAGTAGAATTTGTTGAAGATTGAAAGGTTGTTTTCAACTTAAACAAAAAAGTTGGTAACACAAGCTATTTATTTAAATTGGCGACATAAACGAAAAAAATTTTCGACACACAATGAAGTCACATGCAGCTGCGTACTTTCATCAGAATATGATCTTATATAGCAATAATATTACGTTTAACGTTTGGCAGTGCAATTTTTATTACACATTTTGTAAAAAATTACATTTTTTTTTATTAATCAGCTTTACGATATGAAAGCGAGCAGTGGAATCGCTTCGAAATAAAGCATTTTTATCTTCATCTACTCCCGAGACTGGATAACCTCAGAACCCACGCATAAAAATTTAAACAAACGTGCAGAAAACAGTTACAGTTGCGGCTAAGATCAAAGGTTAGCTCGCAGTAAAAAGTATTAGTTGCGGGAATGAAAAAATCGTAAAATAATACTGAGCTAAGCAATTATTCACTGCTTTTGTTAGTGTCGATGTTTAAGCAATATCACTATTATAGTGCTGACTATTATTAGATACTTAATGCTATTTAAATGCATCAATTAGTATCAAATTGTATTATCCACTAAGCAATTACTGTCATTCAATGAGTATGTCAAATGGTATCATTCATTAAGCACTTATTTACTTTGTTAATTAGTATCTATTTCCGCATGCGTGACGTGTATGCATTATCTTGCGGACACATGCGTGAAAAAAGCGGGCGCAGCCCGGGTAAAATCGCTTAAAACTAGAAGTTCGATCCAACTTTCGAATCCCGGCAAACGGGATGGCTGCATGGGTGTTTTCGTGATTTTATTTTTCGCATGTGTAACTTGTATGAAGTATCTTGTGGATGCATACGTTAATAAAGCGGTAAAATCGCTCAACAATGGTAGTTCGGTCCAACTTTCGAATGGCCAACGAAAGCGGGCTTCAGCCCGCTAATCGATACTGTTAAAATCTGTAAGCGTCTGTCAGTGTGTTTGTTTGCTTTCTTATAACATCACTTCCTCTGGAACGGCGGAGATTTGAGTTTCAAGAGAGGTACCCTCGGATTCAAAATATTCCTAAATTTCGATCTCATTTTTCCGAATGGCAACAGTCTCGCGTGCTGGAGATACAAATGCTTCATTTGAAAAAAATTTACCATTGCTAGCTACCGAATTAATTTGTTAATCTGTTAATCAAAATTTGTAACTTTTAGAAAATATGAAATAAAAATAGCATTGCCGAGTTTCGAGAGAGCTACCACCGGATTCCAAAAAAAAAAAAAAAAAAAAACGTGGGAAGCCATTTCGATCATTCTCATCTTCGTACGAATTTAAACATCCGAGATATTAATTAAAAACTCTGAAAATGAAATATTAGCAACAAAAAAAATTTATTTACGCATTTGTTGAAGAGTGGTTGCATGAGATATTAGATGCTGTTCGCACATTTTTTAGACGATTTTCATTGTATCTACAGGAATATTTTACCAAATATTCTGTGTTTTAAATGTTTTGTTTGATAATGCTTATTCTTAATTATCTTTCTTACCGTAATTTTCAAAACAATAAAGCTTTTGTGGTATCGGAAGAGGAGATTTATCCCATTCCTCTTGAACAGCTTTCCAAAGTCCAAGGAGGTCAACAATTTGGACAATCCGCTTTTTAAAAGTCCAAAAGCACAAACGTCTATGGGTGATACATCAGGAGATTTAGTAGGTATATAAATGAAGGGTATGATTTTGATACCCGTATCTTGTTTCACTTTTTCAAGACATTAACAGTGGATTTTGACATATGTCTGTTTGCTTTTTCTTGATGCACTTCTGCAGATTGATGCTACTGTGGGTAATGAGAAAACATGTCATATTTGAAAGCTGGATATAAAATATGCTCTTGATAATATGTGAAGTTAATATTAACATTTTTCTGCAGTCAATTTTTAATTTGTAGCTATATGAAAAAAACCAGTAACGATCATAAGTTCCTTCGAAGAACTTTCTTTAGATTTTTGAACATTGCTTTAAATATTTTCTCCTGTTTTATGATAATAAATGGATCTCTTTTTATTGTCGGCTTTTAAATACATCCAAGATTTATCTATTGTAACAATATTTTTCCATTTTTATCCGAATTATTGAACTTCAGAGAGAATTCCGCCGCGCGCTCTGCGTTCGGCGATATGCCGTGGAGAAAGACTACGCACATCATGTTTTTTTCGACTTTTTAAGATTCAAATCATGATTAATCACTTTATTTACAGGTGACACTGCGCATTTTGATGAGATTTCGAGCTTCCTGCGACATGGCGGGGTTTCTTTTAACATTAAACAACATTCGAAACATTCCGTTTTTTCCATGGATGCGTATTTGGAACAATTTTTCCACTTAAAGCTAAACTTTGACGTGTTTCTCCCTTCTAGTTGACAATATTACTTACCGTATTTTAGATAACGAAAACTTATAACTTTCAAAGCCTTTTTTAATAACTAGATAGGAATAATTTTTTCAGAAAGAGGAGAAACATAGCCTTCCACCCACTGCTCCTTTAAAACTGCCAGTTTGCATTAAAACGAAACTGTCAAGTTGCATATGATAATTTATATTTTAAAAAACAGTTGCAGTTTGAAAAAATTTCCAAGCAGAAGGTTCTTTTTTTGTATCAAAGCAAAGTTGTCTAAACAATCTGCGAAGGGCGTCTGTAATTATGCTGTTGCTTGTCGCGAGATATTAAATTCTGAAAACGCTAATTCGAGAACAAAAAAATTATTTACGAATTGTTTGCTGCGGGTTACGCGAGATGTTAATTTTCGGTGTCTGCGGTTGTTGCGAGATATGAATTAAAAACTCTGAAAACGCTAATTCGGCAACAAAAAAATTGTTTGCGAATTGGTTACTGTCTTGAAAAGCTTGCTCATCTGGCAAGCTTGCCTAGTAATTAATTGTATGAAAAATAGCTCTAGACTCGGCTATAAATAAGTCGTCTGTTCGCGATATTTTTTGTTAGCTTCCATGTTTTTTATTGCAATTAGCTGAATTACAGCTTCTGTCTCGTAACAGAATACTCTATATTGTATTTAGTGTGTTTTTGTGAATCCATGTAATATGTTAGTCAGGAAATACTAAACACAGAACAGTTCGTTGCTTTCGTTATTTCGCTTTATGCACTAGGTTTTAATTTTCCCATTTTGTTACGCTTTCAGTACTTAGGATTAATGGAAAGTACTGTATTTAAGCTAACTTAAGTTTTATTATTTTTGAATCAAGCAAAGCACTTTTCTGGGTTTATTAAGTAACAAGGTTTCTGCGTAATGCAATTTTCTCTGCTTATTAATTTAATTATATGATGTTATGTTATTTTCTCTAAATCTGACCCCCGCATATCTAAAGTAATGTGTTTCGTTTCAGAAACTATTTCCTGAATTTCTGTTTTCTATGTGAAACAGTACTAGCTGTGAGTTTTTGCTATATTCCCGGAATGGATCATATTTTACACATGTTCTCATTAAAGTAAGTACCTAACTGAGTATTGATTTCAATATTTGGCCTGAAAAACTCCCAATGAAAATGCAAATGCAGTAAGCTGGACAGCACATTTTGGAAAAGAGATGTTAAAATTTATAACAGAGAATACTAATGTAAGTTAAAAATTATGATAAGAAAGTGGATAGCCTCTTTCTTACCTACTATTATGAAATATCTTACTTATATATGATCATCACTGTATTACTTGTCTTTCTGGAGTACCTTTTTTTCGTAGATATAATTTAGCAACGCACATTTCTAAGATAGCCTTTAAAATTTCGATATGTGTAAAATAACTGATAACTTATTTTAAAACAAATTTCTTGAAATTTAGAGGAAACGAATTGATTGGTGCATTTATTTCTCTTTAGTAGCCTTTCATTTCAAGAATAAACATATCTTGGACAGTAATTTAACTAAGAAAACAAAATTCGCTATGTGATTGTGGAAGAAATAGAAATATCAGCTTACACTAAAGATTTTGTAAAACGATTTGCAGTGTAGAACGTGCAACAAAATATGAAACAACGCAATTAAATACAGATTATAAGCTTAAAATTTTTTTAAAAAATGAAACTTACATTTCGTCAGTCCTACGCCAAAGGCACGAATCTCCAAAGTCTAAGTTTCGTGGAAAATGTATTTAAAGGCTTATTGTTTAAAAAGCACCTTCTGCACAAGAATTCTGATAAAAATTTGCCATTGACAAAATATGCATTTTTTCTTTTAGTATAATATAACATACTGAAATTTAATATAAGAAATGAATGTAAGTATAAACAAGGACAAACAGGAATGTGATTATAAACAACTTGTTCTTGGCTTACAGCCGACGATTTATGAATCAGTTAAATTCTCGCAATATAATTAATGCCATTACATTAGAAAAAAAAATTGCTTAAGTTTTTTTTTTCTAAACTGGATAGCATTTTGTTTTATTGTACTGTACCTCGCAGATTTTCTTTATTAAAAATCGCCGATGGGGATTTCCGCACAGGCGGAGGAAGGCTGTTAAGTCGATGAGGGTCTCAAATTTCAGGTCTCAAAATAAAACATTGTTTCGTTTCATTTATTATTATTATTGTTGTTATTATTTTCCTAACAAAAGTAATTAATAATTTAAGAGTATTGCCTAAATTAAACTGACAAATGAATAGCACGTGTTTTTGACGATCCTAGTGGTCATATTTCATATCACATGCAAATTCCTTCTACTGACGAGATACGGGTTATAGTGTCCTTACTGATTGTTTTCCTAATTTCATTTGTATGATTCATTTCGAATTTGGCAGATATTACGATATAATTCAGTGTAATGGCAGTTTAGTTATAGTAAATATATATATACATATATTTTTTTAACAAAGGAAGTATATGTACACTGAAAAAAAAATAAATAAAAATAAATAAAAGAAAAAGGACAGTTCACTATCTCCCGTTCTACTGGGCCGATTGACGAAATTAAACTTCAGTTTTTCATGTCTCGAAAACGCGACTTAAAATATGTATTAAATGTATATATAGCATTGTTCTGATACAGGTATTTTGACACAAAATCGGAAATCTTCTGAAATGACATGCCAATTTTTTTCCATACTTCAATTCTACGACTTAAATTATCACAAGCTGCCAAGTTTTGTACAAATCTCACGAGTACTTTTTAAAAGGTTAGATCTCAAAAGTTTAGTTCCTCAATGTTAATTGAATTTGATATATATTTATTCATAGCTCTTTTTTTATTAAACTTATTTGATTCTTCCTTTCACATTTCGAAATTTAGGTTCATTCTAAATAAAATTCGCTTCTTTTTATGTTTTATTTTTTTAATTGGTACTTTTAAATAATTTTTAAAAATATTTCGAGAAAAATTTTCAATTATAACCTATAAATGTTTTGTCTTAATCTTAAAGTAGATGTATTTCTAAGCATACCTGCCAAAAATTAGTTTTTTATTCAAAGTTTCCTAAAATATACGTGAATTTACATTTTGGCGCGTTTTGAAATTTGGCGTATTTATTAAAAGCCATAATAACGAAAATGTGGTTTACGCACTTTGTTAAAATTATTTGAAAGTGGGAACTATGACTTTTTTCCCGCTCGCGCGCAGTGAAGAAAAAGGGAAAAAAAATAGGTTGCTATAAATTAAGAAGTTCGCCAAGTGAATTAATTATTCTTGGCGCAAACTGAAAACATTTCTCCAACATAAATTTTTAACTTTCTCCATAAATTCCTTACCAAAAATTACAAAATTTAATTTCTAGGCATAATTTGAGTCGTAAAATCGAAATATGGAAAAAAATATTTATGTTATTTCAGAAAGAGTCCAATTTTTTGTCAAAATACCTAGAATTAGAAAACTGCTATGTATAAATGTAATAGGTATCTTAAGTGGCGCTTTCGAGACATGGAAAACGCAGTTTAAATTTCGTCAAACGGCCCAGTAGAACGGGAGATGTAGAAATGTCCCCTCCTCTTTTTTTTTTTTTTTTTTTTTTTTTTTTTTTTTTTTCCCGCGGTATACTTGCTAAATAATACCAATGACGTTTATTCACAGTTATTACAAAAGTATAAACCTGACCCTTCCAATCTTTTCAACCTTCCAATGCTTCTAACCTTTCCAACCCGACAATTCCTGACCTTTTTGATGTTGACACAGATATCATCACTAACCGTCTGTAATGACATTCTTATGTCATAAGTAAGAAATGATAATTTTCTTCTCATGTGCCGCAAAATGTGTCATGTTCTAACGCTGTCATATTTTAGTAGTAGGCTAAAGAATAATGATAGAACTGTCAAAAATATTAACTAATTTAATGCACAAAACTCAATGATAATTTTAAATAAAATAACATACAATACCTTGGTGGAAGTTTCTTTGCAGATTATAGCATCTTACTCTGACCTCAAGGCTCTGCCTCTCGGTCGAATACAAAAATTCTCGGCTGTAATAAAAGAACAAAATATATTCCCATCTCGGATGTAATATGCTATTATGTTGTCGATTTTCTAGTGTTACAGTAGTAATAATTATAAAATGTATGCATTTCTTTTAATTATGCACATTCTCATGAACTGTTGTCCTGTAACACTGCACATTAATTATTGTTTATTCCATGCTGATTACTAATGTTACGTTTTTATATATTGCAGTGGTGTCAAACTAGCGGCCATCAAAGACATTTCAATTATGGTGTTTTAAAGGTTTTAAGATTTTAGTTATTTTAAATCCAGGTTTACATTATTTTCATTTCCATCAAAAATGAACATGAATAATTCACTTAAAAAATCTATAAATAAAGATAATTAATTTTAAATGTGATATAAATCTTCTTTAAAGATTTGAAGATAGAGTTTCTATTAACTTTTATTTGTACTTTTGTAGAAAATTAAATAGATTCAGTTACAAATTTTTGCACTAAGAATAACTGCTTTCTTTGGGAGTGTATTTCTACGTAAAGAACCTTCTAATTAAAATCACTAAGAAAAGAAGCGGATTGACTAATGAGTATCTACCAAAGAGGTTAGAGTAAATAGAGTAAGCCTCTTCCATAGGTTCCGTGCAACGAAAATGAAGAAATGAAGCATCACAGTTTGAGGTCACGACTTATCATGGTGGCTGCCATATGTGGTTTCTTTTACATCCTAATTGGTGTTGCCTACATATTAGGTATTCACCATTGGACTTTTATAGGTCTGCCATTCTAATTTTAATGCTTAACATAAATAATTCGTACTTAGTACAAAAAAACAAAAAAACATTCCAAGGCTTGCAAATAACTGTTTCAAATTTAATAAAATCTAGGTGGTACATAAAAATGTGTAAATAGTGTTTATAAGACAAATGTATACATGGTAAAATCTAGAAGACCAGTGGAAGTTTTATTGGTAATGCAAATTATGCCTAAAAGCATTTTTCTAAACCTGCGTACATTGATATTTGGTCTCAAATTCAGCTTAATTTTATTTAGCAGTATGTTTCGTAGTCTTATCCGTAGGCTGTAGGCGGCCATCATAAGTCATGACGTCAATTTGTAGTCATTTCCTTGGCTTCATTTTTGTGGCGTTTCACTTACTCCATCTATTCTTACTTCTTTTGTATCTACAATTCGGGATGAAGATCATTTCTGGTAACTTTTCGCCAGTGTTACAAACTTTATCGGAATCGAAAGGCCATCAACTGCCAAGCTGCAGGAAGAAATAAAGAAGCTTTTAGTTATTTACACACAAATATATAAATTATTTATGCATCGAAGAAATATTTAATAAATAAAAGTAAATGACTAAATTGTTCTAATTTATTTTCAAGTTTCGTTCCACTAAGAAAATGTTCTCTGAAAACTTAGAAAGTTATCATACTTTATTTATTTCTAATTCAAATTAAAGTAAGTTATTAACGGTTAATTAAACATATACTAATTACTGGAAAGAAATGTCAGTGTAAGAATTTAATATTTGGCTGACAACATATTTTAGAAGGTATTTCCCCAACCTGCATAGTATGCCTTCGTGGTGTAGTGGTCAGCACGCTCGGCGCGTATTCGAGAGGTCAGGGGTTCGAGCCACGGCGAGGATATCGCTCATTTTTGATAACTCCTTCTTCAAAAATACTTAATGTCTCTGCAATTTAAATTTCAAAGTGTAAAGTAAAACACTCCAAAATAAAACTTAAAATTAGGCCAAACAACAATCTTTATTTGGCGTAAATTTTAATTGAAACCCTATCGATTTTCAGGGCTTACAGGTACAGTATAAGGAACAAAAATGTCTCATAGGTACCAAATTCTAGATTTTAGAGAGAAAGTTAATATAAATTTGAATTTCTTTCCTTTCCGATATTATTACTGTTGTCTACGCATGTTTTGACAAATATTTAACGAGTAAAATTTAAATATTTAATTTTTTTTCCTGGCGCGTCAGTTGTTTTCGCATCGTTCTTTCGGCCCGCATGCAGCTTGAGTTTGAGATCACTGATTTATAGTACA